TGCCACGATTGTGAAACAAGAGGTTCGTTCGTAGTCAGATGAATCAATCAGACACAGAATGCGAGACTCAAATTTCGGTTGTTGCAGGGAAATGTTTCGGAGCCGGAAGCTTTTGTAAAGCAACTTCAGAACGATGGTCGATATTTGAGAGACGTGTGGTGACTCCAGACAGTGCCAAATGGACCTTTGGAGCGCTTGTAAAGAGCGGGATATCAATCAGTCGGTCAGTCGGTCAGTCAGAGGCAAGACTAGATTTTTGTAGATCAGCGTAACCATTTATTCCAGAAGATTTTCGAAGAAATCCTCTGATTCTGTGATACATAAAATTCAGCATTCGATTGGTTCTCAGCCCACTCGAAACGAGTCTTGAATCCTTCGAAGTACCGGCGCATGTTTTCGCCACTGCAGTCCTGCAACCAGGAAATCATCTCACAAACTTATCGAATCGGAATTTACGAAGATCTCACCATTTGCATTGACGGACATGAGGTAAAGCCTGTTCCCAGCAGCAGTCGCAGTGATGAGTATGTGCGGCTCAACTTCGTATTGATAGTAAGTTCTTCCTTCGTATTTCTTCACCTCCATATCTTTGACAGCCCCTTCAACGTTTTTGCCTGTGATTTCCGGCCCAAATGCATAGATCACCTTGTCAGGCGCGCCGATCTCTTCAATCGTCGCATTATCAGCAATTGCTAGATCATATACAAAAAAATATTTAAAAATGCATGGTAATAAATTTTAAAAAAACTTTAAAAGAAAGAAAAAGAAACCGACTTACTGTCTGAAAATCGCTTCACTGGAGCAACAACTATAGCGATATTCCCTTCTTCAGTGCTTGAAAATCTGAGGTCAATCTCCGTTCCACCCAAATCAGCAATGGAAACTGGAACCTGCGAACAACTACGCCAAGGTTTTTGTCGGCTGGTTTAATCACAATACTATGATCGTGTCGCAGCGCAAGGACTGCATCACGTCTCCATCCTCTTAGAAAAGATCGAGGTCTTTTACAACAGGAAAGACGTTGGAGAAGGTGCTCTCGAATGCGGGCAACTCGTGACTCCATGTGCCAGGAAGCAGGGGGAGGATCAAAGTTTGGGTTGGGAACCCGAAACTCTGGTATAAGACTGTTGCTGTCCTTAAACGAATGACGAAGACGGACTGAGCGTTGAAAGTCATCTAAGCATTCCATAATCTTTTTGGCCGTGAGAGGCACTGGATTAGGAATGAATGAGAGCCCAAGAGCAAGGAGGCCCTTTTCAGCGGCACTCAACATGCGAGAAGACAAATTGTGAACAGCACCAATCTCCACTCTATTTTCTAGCTGGGAAACTTTTTGATTGCCGGCAAAATGAAGTAAAGCTTCATGCGGGGCAATCAAAGGTAGCCAGAAACTTTTGCCTTGCCTTTTCTGTCCACAGGCACTGCCGTAACTGGAGAGTGCGGGCGTTGCTGTGGAGGCGAGTTTCTTCCCAAGCCATAGCGTTGGGTTCGTTCGTGGAGTGGGGTGTTGTTGTGGTGCTGTGAGGGCTGCATCCCTTGTCCTCTGGGAGGTGAAGGTGGTTTCTGGTTCTGAGTTGGCTGGCGTTGTTGGGCTGCTGGAGGAGGTCGTGGTGTAGTCTGGCGCCCTCGGCCGCTTGGCCAGTTCGGTTGGGACCGTGGGGGTCGACCGTTTCCTCGAGACTGGCGTTGGCCACCTCTGCCAGTCATGGCTGGCTGGGAACCAAGCACGGTTGGAGATTGCCGGTGCAAGGGACCCCTTGAAGAAAAACCCGGGGCATCGGAATGGGTGGGAGGAGTCCCAGTAACCACATTCCGCCCCTGCTCGTTTCCCTGCCATCCATGGGTAACGTCACGTTCACCACTGGGGAGAGAAACCTTGCGTGTCTTTGAAGAGCCTGCTTCACGTATGTGGAGTGAGGTATCCGTCCTTTGCTGTCGTTTGCCTTGTGATCTGGTGCCTCTGCCAGCATCTTCGTGGTGTTGTCTCGGAATTCCACGCTCCCTCTCCTTCCACATCTTGTCAAAGCAGCTCTGGACAAGCATCTTAACAGTGTCTTCCTTGGGCAGTGTCTCCGCCTTGGCTCGTGCAGCATCCTCTGCAGCTTCCCTTTGCTTGCGAGCATTTTCCTTTTTGCTCTCCTCAACTCCATATGCCACTGCTCCAATTGCAGTCGCACGTTGGTATTCAGCTATCAACTGATGCTTGCGGGCATTGAGAGTATGTGTGACAGCCTCTCGTTGTGCATTGCCACAAGCCTGCAAAGCACAGTGAACAAAATCATCCATTCGATCATTAAAACGTTGAGAGAGTCCATGGTTGATGAGATCCGCAAGGGTAGCAGCCTCAGCCTCTCGTGCCTTGAGCAGAGAATCAAGAAGGTCCTTCAAGTATTGTTCGTGGATTGCTTTGATGCTGGTATCAAGAAGTTCCTGACCGTGAGAGGTCACCTCAAGCTTTGGCATACGAATGCGAAGGTCTTGAGGGAACTGCTTTTTATCACGGAGCTGAGTCAATCTCTTCACAGCCTTGTGAGCTTGATTTAGAGACTTGAGCTCGTTCATGAATTCCTTGATCGAGCATTCAAGGATGGCAGAAAGAGCCTCATCAAGCCTACCAAGTCCCTCAGTCGAGGAGCTAGTGAGGGCATTGCCAGGGGCAAGGAAAGGTGGCAACTGCTGTGGAAGAGTGTTTCCAGTAGCAGAAATGCCAGCACTATTCTGCAACACTGTGAAGAGGTCTACCAATCCAGAGAATGGAGTAGATGATGGCACAGCTGGGGATGAAAAAGGTGGTGGGATTGAAGTTGTTGATGAAAAGAGTGTTGGTAAAGTTGAGGCCATGGAGAAAGGTGGTGTGGTGGAGAAGGTTAATGGAACAGGAGGCGAGATGGAGAAAGTTGGTGGAGTATGAGGTGTTGTAGCAAAGAGAGGAGGGCTAGTTGTCGATGGAGTAGGTGTATGGATGGTTGTAGTTGTGAGCACAGAGGTACATGCAAGCGTAGACATGGGTGTATATGCTGGTGCATGTGGTGAGAGTGAGTTTGTTGTAGGCACAGCCATAGGGGATGTAGAGGTGGTCACAGGTGGCACAACGGATCTCCTAGGCGGCATAGTTGCTACTGGGGCAGTTGCTGGAGACAGAGTGGGCTGCATATCTGTCACTGATGCTACAGTGGACCATGTAGCCGTTGACAGTGGTGCTGAGACAGGTCGTGAAGCCAAGTGTCGTTCAGCCAAGTGTCGTTCCTCTGTAAGTGCCAGTTCCCTCAAGAATTCAGGAGAAGCTGGAGGAGACTCGGTCGTGAGTGCATATACTGACGTTTGAGGTGGTAGAGTGCGTGGTAGTGGTGTTGGAACTGACGTTTGAGGTGGTAGAGTGCGTGGTAGTGGTGTTGGAACTGACGTTTGAGGTGGTAGAGTGCGTGGTAGTGGTGTTGGAACTGACGTTTGAACTGGTAGAGTGCGTGGTAGTGGTGTTGGAACTGACGTTTGAGGTGGTAGAGTGCGTGGTAGTGGTGTTGGAACTGGTGCAGAGCAGGACGTTTGTATGGTAGTAAGCATTGTAATTGGTATGGAAGACAGCGTTGTATTTGGTGTGGAGGAAGAAGATGGTATGATACGAGATGAAAGTGTAAATCCGTGAATAGGGGCTGATCCATGAATGGAATTGGATGGTGGAGGATTTGGTGTTTGACGAGATGATGAAGCGATGTGAGGAGGTGATGGAGGAGCATTTGCCATAAGAGGAAGAGAACACTGGTCATGCATTACTCCAGAAGTTGCAGCTGTGTCTTCAATCTCAATCGGTCCTGGACCAGAGTCCCGGATGAAGTATGAGCGAACGTCCCGGTGAGAGAAATTCGGCCACAGTCCACGATGAACCTAAACCCTAAACCCTAAACCCTAAACCGGTGGAGTCACCTTGGAGGCGAGTGACCCATGAGCGACGCCGGGTCATCGTGCTCGAGTTGGACCGCTTGGCTGCGACGACGTCGAGCTAGATCGACATGGTGTTCGTCTGGCTTGGCATCATTGTGATCGAGTGGAGGAGTGGCGAGGCGAAGCAGGTGGCTTCAAGCTCCGCGGTGGAGTCACCTAGGAGGCGGACGGCCCAAGAGCAGCGCCGGGCGTTCGCGCTCATAGTTTCACGAGTTTCTTCGAGAGTGCGCTCTCAATGTAGTTTTGATCCCTTTGGGATTGGGGTAATGTACATATATGTTTAGCGATCTCGCCGGATTGCAACACCACGGGGTGTCTTTGACCCTAAACGCCTAAACGCGCCTAAACCCTAAACCCTAAAACCCTAAACCCTAAACCCTAAACCTAAACCCCTAAACCCTAAACCCTAAACCCTAAACAGGGTAGACACTAGACGACTACACCCGGCTGATGAGTCCCAAAAAGGACGAAACCGGTCTCGGGTTGTCTCTTGTCCTCTCCCTCGCTCACGAATGAATGAAAATTCATTCCCTCGCCTCCTCTACTTGCTCTCGATCACGCCGTTTCGACAACGGCACACAGAGAATGTGGATTGCACAAAGTGGTGCCGCGATCTCGCCGGATTGCAACACCACGGGGTGTCTTTGACCCTAAACGCCTAAACGCGCCTAAATCCTAAACCCTAAACCCTAAACCCTAAACCCTAACCCCTAAACCCTAAACCCTAAACCCTAAACTAGTCCGACTTTGTGAAATGACTTGAGAGGTGTAGTCTAGTCCGACTTTGTGAAATGACTTGAGAGGTGTTCTAGTCCGACTTTGTTAAACGGGGCTTTTTATTTTCCAGCAAAAAACCAAAAAACTGGGCATGGTTTCGTTTGGCACAAAACCAGCAAAGAGCCTTTATCTAGAGGAGCCTACAATGGAAGTACCTACAGAAAGGGGGGTTGCTCGTGAACTGGCGCCCGAAGGTCTTCCTAGATGCGTCACCTGGAACCATTCATCCGGCGGTGTCCACATCGATTCCCGAGTACCTGCCTCCCCTTGCTTCCACAAGAAATGCCAGATCTGCGCTTCTTTTTTTGCTCTTTCTGGGCCATTTCTCCCTCCTCTTTTTTCCAGTTGTAGGACACGGGCTGCTGCTGCAGTTATCATTCTAGTCCACACCCGTGACGCCACCACCCTTGGTCCTTCTTCCCTGTCATTAAAGATTCTGTTGCACCGGGCTTTCCATACTTCCCACATTGTAATTCCTCGCAGTAGGTCCACTATCTCTGTTGGGATTCCTTCTATGTCTGTTCGAGTTGTGTTAAGCTGGTCAAACCGCGGTGCCCCTTCTTCTCTTGATGTCCATTTCCAAGAGTCTGTTCCATTTCGCATTCCTGCGGCAGCTTCGCCCCATACTACCGCTTCATACGTGAGGCACACTTGTCTCTGGGAGTGTTGTTGCAGCAACCAGCACGTGCTTCTCCACACGTCTTGTGCGCTTTCACATTCCCATAATATATGCCTTTGTGTCTCCCTCGCTCCACATTTGTGCTCTCTACCTCCTCAGCTGTTACCTGATTAAGGTTAGGGGGGCCCCGTGCTCCCCCGAGAACACATGACGCAAGTGCCGTCCCCCGGGGCCGATGCTGCCCCGGGGGCGCGGTTTGGAAATCCAATTTCGAACGGTCGAGGAGATAAATCCTTTGCAGATGACTTAAATAGGGGATGGGGTACTGTAAGTGGCAGAGTAGCCTTGCTGCTACGATCCGCTGAGGTTCATCCCTCTGTCCCACCGATTTGTCCCACCCACCGAAGGAATAAAACCGAGGGGTACGGCTTTTCCTAGCCCGACAGACCTGGGCAACACGGGCTTGGGCTCAGGCTCGAGCGCGTGGGGTGAAGTGCTTGACTCCCTGGGGTGAAGTGCTTGTCTCCCTGGGGTGTGGTAGGCCGCAAGCACTGGAAGGATGCGAGTGGGGGATGCGAGTGTTGGGCAGCCGAGGCTAGACCTTGGGTGCCCAGCTCCACACCCCCAGCTGGACTTCCAGTGCATGTGCGGGCTGCTGCTGGGCTCCTCCCCGCGTGCACCATGTCGGGGTCGGACTCGGGCTCCATCTCGGACTCGGGTTCCGGCTCGGACATGGACACGTGGGGGTGAAAGCCCAAAGCGCTTGTCTCCCTGGGGCGTGGTAGGCCGCGAGCACCGGAAGGATAGTGGGGGATGCGAGTGTTGGGCAGCTGAGGTCAGACCTCGGGTGCCCGGCTCCACACCCCCAGCTGGACTTCCAGTGCATGTGTGGGCTGCTGCTGGGCTCCTCCCCGCGTGCACCATGTCGGGGTCGGACT